CAATCATGAAACATGAAAGTAGTATAGGAATACGTGATTCACTATTCCCGAACAGGAGTAGTATTTCCTAAGGATATGGCATTTAAACTAGTGTTTTCAAGTTAACGAATTAAATGTGCAGTTCCCACTAGAATTATTTTGCCGTATTGTTTACGTGATCAGTAAATCATGTCGCTTTGCGGGTCCATACACAAATAGTCTTTAATGCTTACAGTTTTTTTTTTGCATGGAGTATAATATTAGTTCCTAGCTCGTAACTGGAGTGTTCATTCGAGCGAGACTTGATAAAGAAAATCCGGATTCTTCCGTATTTAATTCTATCTACATTTTGTACTCTAGCTTCATAAATAATTTAGATCTTGCTTTACAATATTTTCATGCCCAGAGCAACCAATACTTCTCTATATTTTGCAGTCAGCGAAAAGTCTAATTTAATTGCAGTAGCTTTCATAGACTAGATAATTGATTAGTGTTTCGGGATGCATTAACTTCAATAGCCCGTAAGTGTAGTGCACGCTTTTTATCACGGGAGTGGGCGGTAATCTTCCTCCACTGTATTGCAAGGACCTACGTCGAATAAGGTTTTCCCCAACCAGGTACCTCCCACCGACAGACCACTGCCTCAACCGAGACAAGCTCTAATCTCCCGACAGCAATTAATGCACTGAGTCTCATTTTCATTGGTAGGAAGTAATGCGCAAGGTACTTATTGTTGGAAATTCGACAGTCAGACATGTTGGTACGATCGACAAATCCAGAGACGCGTTTCCCGGGAATCCGAACCGAGCAGCTAGGAACTATATGTAGAATAGAGTCCTTGGAACGTCAAATACGATCATTTAACACGTTAGTTAAATGTCCCGGCTGCGACTGGGGACTTGTCCCGACTGAAGCGATGCTGCGCTGAAGGGGAGATACTGATCGGGGAAAATCCCTGCAAGTCGACGTAGGTCAGTGACAAATCTCTCCATCCACCGGAGAAAGATCACCGGCACCTCCCGCGATACAACGCACACTTCACTAACGGGTCTAATGAACTTAGGCAGTTACTTAGGACTTACTAATCAATCAATCAATCCCACAACGAGAATGGATGTTATCGCACTTTGCGCCTCTATTGACACGGACACATTGTACGCGTTTCTTACTGAAACGCCACGAAGTTTCTCTTCAAAGAGTTGCGTTTAGTTCCCGCAGCTCGTGGATTTGAAACAAAAAACAACTGCCACTTTTTCTTCGAGTTGGCTTTCTTGCCTTACACGATTCCTTGCACTTGCTACAAAACCACTTGTCGTGATTCTTGTCACTATTTTTCTCACAACTTTCTTGTCCGTACAGTCCACGCAATTTGCACTGTTTGCCTGATTATAAATTATTATGGCAAGCATTAAACAAGATGGGAATGGCGCTCACTTCCTCAACTGAAGTCCGTGGGCTATATACATTCCTGGCTATCCGGGATGAGCCGCGTCTCAGTCAATTGTGTTAACGTTTCGGCCATCTTGCTGAGGCCTTCTTCAGAGCTATTCTCTCAGCAGTAGCCAAGAATGAATTGATTCCGGCCGCGGAAGCCTACGAGCCCTGGATTATGTTTGACACCGTTGATTAGCTGCAGCACGGCTACCGTGGTTGCATACAACGTTGCCGCTCCAGCAGCTGTCCCAACGAGATAGAAATCTATAATTCAAGCTCGCTGAGCTGCCCCGCCCCCGCAGAACAATGGCGAGGGTGCCGGCGCAGCGCACGAGGAAAATCTGGTAGCAGGCGCACCGATTAGAACCCGATACTCCTGCAGGAAGCAATCCATTGTCTCGGGAGGAGCACTGATTAAGTACGTCAGACTGTTAGGGCGGACGGCGACAGAGTGACGACAACCGGCGACTGGATAAATTATGCTGTCACACACAAAAAATGTTGTCAGCCCCAAAGATTTGGCACATGTTTCTCTGTGTTTGTCGACGTGGTGAATCCGACTATGGAGTTATAATTACGCCACCTCGCCAGTTTTTTTTAATCGCAAAATAGCATCGTGAAAGTGTAAATTGTAAATTTCACGGTGTTTTTTCGCGATTAAAAAAACAATAAGTTAGTTTTGCAAATCTGATTTCGACGTTGCGTTGACATACATAAAAAATAGTTGTTAGACCCAAACATATGACACATGTTCCTCTACATGCCTATGTTATTAATAACATTACACAATGTTTGTGATTAAAAATACCAATCCTTTTGAGAGCACGATAAATTGTGTCTTTGGTTTTCAAATTAAGAATTATTTGTACTATGTCGTTTCGGTACAAAAAATACGTTTTACCTCTCTATTTCGTAATATTTCTTATTCATTATGTGGTATAAAAAAATTACTCTGATTTCATGCAAATGATTGATGCAAAATATTATTATACAAATCTGGATAATAATTTAAAATGCAATTTCCCACTCTTTGAATGGTGTTACAAAATATTATATAAACCATGTTAATATGCTTTTAAACACGTCATGAAATAAAATAATACATTGATAAATTTCACTTCACTCAAAATATTCTTAGTGTTCGACGAGAGTTCTAAGTTCGTGCAGAAATCCGCTGCAGAGTTGAAATGCGTCTTGACCCTCGCCTCACCGCCACCAGGTAACGAAGCCGTCTGCTGCGTGGCGCGTCATCAGTCGGGCGAAGGGGAGACCACGGGAGCAGTCACGTGGGCGTCACGCCCACGTGAGCAGCGCTGAAAGGAACGCGGATTCAAGGGGCGCCAGTGAATGGGCTGCCACCGCGTGCTGGACGGGTCAGAGCAACGCGGGGATGGGGCCGGTTGTAAAGGACGGGCTAGAAAAGGATGGGACGAGAAATGGCTGTAGGGGAAAGGGCAATGAAGAGACAGATGCGGGGAGAGAAAGGTCTAGAGAGGTGTGACAGCACAAGTTGAGAAGCAGGGTGCGAGGTAAAGGGAAGAGGTGTGGCGTGTTGGAACGAGATGAGGCCTGACGAGGTGTGATCGGGCGTGAATGAGCGTGACGTGCCGGAAGGGGGCGGTGCTGGGCAGGGAGCGACACGATAGCGATGCTATTAATCGAAGGGAAGGGGCGGAGCTAGAGCCACAGGAGAGCAGCGGGAGTGGAAGAGGATGCGAGTGGAAGAGGATGCGAGTGGAAGAGGATGCGAGTGGAAGAGGATGAGAGTGGAAGAGGATGTGAGCGGAAGTGGATGTGAGTGGAAGAGAATGAGAGTGGAAGAGGATGAGAGTGGAAGAGGATGAGAGTGGAAGAGGATGAGAGTGGAAGAGGATGAGCCAACTCCAGCCGTTGATCGCCCTGATCGGTGCACGGACCGAGCACGCCTCGTAAGGGCGACGAGCTCTGTGATTCGCGGCCCGGGCGGAATGGAGACGCGCCACTTGTCTCGCAGCCAAAGAGCACCTGCGCCGCCGGCGCGGAAAAGGCGGCGGTGAAGAGAACTAATCCGCAAGCGCTTCGGTAGGGGGG